TGAATGCGAAGTTATCAACCAGGAACTCGACTAGATTTACTAGTGATTACGTATTTACTTACATAAAGGATGTGCTAAATATTACACAGGCGAAACTGGCTCCTGACGAAATGGCAGCTGATCACACAAAGGACGTTACAATAAAGAACCTAATCCTTGCTGTATCCACTGACATGATGGAAGGCCGCTAGATTAGTTTATAAATCTTTAAATTCGTAAGGGAAAAAAACTGCCTGAAGCCCTTACATCGTCCATACTTGAAGGATCTCTTGGAGTGTTTCACCTCGCCTCCTCCCGAGTGTTTGTCTGGGGTTTTCCTCTACTGTATATTGCCAATCGTGTGTGTATTCCGAAACGTCTTGCTTTAATTTCATTTTCATTATGGCAGTATTCCACAGGCACACACACACACACGCACGCATACATATTTATGTGTGTGTGTGTGTGTGTGCATAACATATACATATCTATACATATACATACATACATATATATATATATATATATATATATATATATATATATATATATATACATATATATATATATATATATATATACATATATACATACATACATACATATATATATAAATAACATACAGCATACATTTGTATATATGTATGTGTATACATATTTATATACACATATGTATATGTATATACAATATATATATAATACTGTAATACTTGTGTTTGCGTGCACGCGTTTGTGTATGAAAAGTGAGTGAAAGAAAACAATCTTTCTGCTTCTGCAGGATATGAACGGAGATCGGCTTAAGCCAAAGCGATGAGACAGAAGCCTCAAAGCGATTACAGTAAATAATGACTTAAAACCGCAAGCAAAAGAGATCGGCCGCCAAGAACGAGAAGAATAGGACTCCTACCAAAGCCGCTGGGCGAACGGACCCACTCAGCCAAATCGCCGACACCGCCAGGAACAGGAAGGCGCCCCTCGGATCCATGGCGCTCTGTACTTCCGTCCGGAGCGAGGACTTGCCGACAACTGTTACTCGTGATGAAAGGTGTAGTTTCGATAGAGAGTGAGAGAGAGAGAATGTCGATACAAAAACCGCAGGTGCACAGCGTCAAATTTTTAAACATAAATATTGTTCGTTGGCTGTATGTATTGTCCGTCAGAATTTTATCAATATAAACTTTTCCCGAAAGTGCTCTTGCACCCCACATTTCATCTAACACGTGGTAAGCATTACCTCAATTTTTCAGGTAAACATATCAGAAAAGGTGAAGGAATGCGTCACTATTTCATGTGGTCAACGCATGTAAAACACAGACCATTCCTGCATGAGAGGAAAAAGAAGTGTAGAGTACTAACATCCCAGAGATCACACCGGGCTTGTGAAACAATATGACAGGGATAATAATAATAGTACGATAAAGAAAAAAAATAACCATAAGAAGCTGATTACGGTCTATTCTATCAACACATTTTTATCTAAAGGAATCACAACTCCCTATAGGCGCATTTTTGACGAAAAACGCGAGCAAAATATAGTTTGGTTTGCTTCGCCTTGTCGAATTCGTTAAAACAGTCCAGACATCCATCTTGCTGTCAATGTAAACAAACTACCGTAATGTGAGACGACTCATTCCCCTGTATCGTGGGGGACCGAATCATTCGCGGAAGAAAAGAGACGGCGCTGTTAGCAACCATAGGGAAATTGCCGACGAAGAAATCTTACATTCCTTTTACATTAGCCAAAGGAGATAGACGAAATAATAATAATAATAAAAATAAAATCAAATAAAAATCATCTACATATGTAGCACAAACTTTATGATTAACTAAAAAAAGCGAAAGAAGTCTACACACTTTAGAGCAGCAATCTGTAAGGATAATATCTACTGCTCGTAGTAAAGATAGGTTTCAAAATATGGGTTTAGATGGAAATAACAAATAGAAATAAAAAACGCACTTTGAACATCCACGGATGCCATAATAAATGGCTAGTATTTATCTTCTTGGGCATAATAAAGCTGTCATTATACTCCAGTTAATACTTCTGGTCGCACACATATGGTGACAACTTACTAGTTTATAACATAATCTATAAGCGGCAACAAAATCAAATGAATTTTATCGTTGGCAGTTTGTTTACTATAGAGACGTCATGAAACTGTGGCAAACTTCCTCTGGAGTTAGTCTGAGAATTCTAGGTTTGGTTACGAAAACAGACCAGTATATCTGGCCAAGGAGTTCCGTCAAAAGACAATTATGAGCAAGAAGTTTCTAGAGTTTTCAAGAAATCTTGAAAAAATTACACAACAACTTTGTATCAATCTCACTTTCATCAAGGGAGGGTATTTCGGGGTTATGTGAAGTATTTCCATTTTTGAGGTATTCTGATTGTGTAATCGACTTCTATTAGCATATCCTCCGTTATATGTTTAAAAAGGAGTAGATAGAGAGCACAATGATGAGTAATGGCGCTGATTTCAAAGTCAACTGAACTATTTCCACTNGTATATATATATATATATATTTTAAATATTGTATATATATGCATATATATATATATATATATATATATATATATATATATATATATATATATATATATATATATATATATATATATATATATATATGCTCATACATCTATGTTTGTGTGTGCAATTCCATGTGTGCGTGTGCATATATGCATATATATATATATATATATATATATATATATATATATATATATATATATATATATAATGTATTTATTTCTCCAGTAGTCGCTCAAAGAAAACACTTCAAGAAAAGCGAAGGAGCTCAAGGAAACCAAGGTAAGACAAAGAAACAAATTTCTGAGAAAATAATCAAAACACAAGTTAAATAAGTAACTGCTGCGTTCATTCTTTATTCTCTCTTTCATATATATATATATATATATATATATATATATATATACATATACATATATATGGCACCCTTTCCTCTGCTACTCTGAGGACTTTATCTCTCGCATTCCGCCGGCGACAATGTTGAGCTTAGATTTCGACTAATCTCCAAGGTTGCACTTGATGTCGTCCTCGCTTTCATTCAACGGAATCTCCCCATAGAGGTTCCTTGTCTCTTTCTGCCTCCTGATATCTTCTTCCAGATGATTCGTCTGTGTGTGGAGTCTAATTCCTTTTCCTTTGAGGTTCCTTCCACTCCCAGACTTTTGGTGTTGCTATGGGCTCTCCTCTCTCTCCAGGTGTGGCAAACTTGTTCATAGAGCACTTCGATGCTGAGCTTCTCCCTTCGTCCTTCGGTTTGGCTAAGGTATAGAGGATGGTTGGTCATCCTCTATTTGACTGCTCGTTTACCTCTTTGGTGAGCAACTGGTGTGAATGTGAGTTCCCACAGGTATAGCTGGGTGCTGGAGAGCAGTTGGAGATCGATGTAGAAGCCGGTGCGGCTCCCCTACGGCTAAGATCTGGGTAGGCCTAGAGCTGCTGCTGCTGGGTCGGACTCAGTTGGAGGATCGTAGTGAGTGCTGGAGCTTAAGTACTGTTGAGCTGTGCCAGCTACCCAGGAGAAAGGGGAGCCTGCTTTCCAGTAGGCGAGCTGTGAGGTGTCCGATGTCAACCAATCAGGTCTCAGCAATAGTCTTCCAGAAGCTGTTGATGGTGAGGTGTGAGGACAGGCTGTCGATCTGGACCTAACCTGGGGGAAGTATGCCGCGCTGCAGGTTACGGGGGACGGCTACAGAGGTGTGTCGACGACGTCTTTGTGCTTTGGTCTCATAACCCTACACTGCTCCTGGATATTTGGATGGAGCTGAACTCTCTCCATCCATTTCAAGGTAGAATAGAAGGCGGATAACAAACTCTCTTGGACAACTTGGACCACTTCTCCTCTGTATAAGAAGCCTATGCACAGTAGTGTGTACATATACTTTTCGTTCCATCCATTCCATGTGAAGAGAGGTGTTGCCACCTCATTGTTCCTCCATGCCCTCTGCATCTGTGATCCTCAGTACCTGGATGGATAGGTTGATTTTCTGCGTTATTACTTCTCCAAAGTGGGCTATCCTCGTCATGTACTCGACGTTGCATTATCCAAAGCAGAGAATACCTTCTGCCACAACCCTCCCCCCTAAAGACATTTCACATGCCCATTCTCAGCTAGCTCTACAATGAAATTTACTCTGTCGCACTCTTTACACTGCAGGCTCACTTTTCGCTAAGTTGCTAGGGAAATTGAATCTTCATTAATTAAGCTGCTGCCTGATTTTAGCTTAAACAGGTTTCTCTCCCTCCCTCTCTCCTGCCAACATTCTCATAGTTTCTCACATCCTCCACCTACTCCTTTAAACTGGCCATCCTTCGCATAAACCATCTGATCCTTCAACCTGACCTGACCTTTTACTTCTGTTCACTTGTCCTCACCTGTCTTGTGCTCATAGCATTGCCTCTCCTCCCACTCTTTTAAATTCCCTCCTCTCCCTTTCCTCTTCAGACCTGAAGATGAAATGCAGGAGGATTTCGAAAATATTGCCTAATTTTCAATAGATTTTGTGCATTGTGGGTTTTCTATCTAGTAACAAGATAGTGTTTTACCATTCATTTATATATGTATAGATAGATAATGTGTATGTGTTTGCTCGTCTGATGAGGAACTCCTTACAGTTCTGATATGCAACGATTCAATTTCATTTTTTACCATGTTTATTTCTTGATATATGTCTAAATATAAAATATTTATTTCAAAAATTTGCATATATTGCGGAATACCATGTTATCATAAGTACCCTTTTTTCTCTGTTCACAACAAGGCAAGCTTCCCTAAATCTTTATCTTTTCTTTTCTCCAAAGGTTCCAAGGGATGTACGAAGGACTATGGGAGATGTAAATCCAAGTGCCGCGGTCATTCTGATAAAGAAAGAGCATGTCCCAATGGTAAGGTGTGCTGCAGAAACGCTCAAAGCCAGCACCTTGGAGCCAAGTTATAGCCAAGACAAACGACTGTAAAGCAGAAGGAGGAATTTGCAAGATATCTAACAAAAAATGCAAAAATCCTCTTCCCTTCAATTGCCCGATCAAAGATTGGAAGTGCTGCAAGAAAACAAAAAGGACCTGCAGACAAATGGGGGGGAAATGTAAAAAACGAGAAAAGTGCAAAACGGAAGTCTTAGAGTCCCTTACCACTTGCAAGCGTGGTAAGGTCTGTTGTGAAAAAGGAAAAAATACTTGCAAAGATCTAGAAGGTGAATGCAAAAGGGAAGCCAGATGCAACAGAGGTATACGTAATCCCTCTGTACCGTGCAAGAGAGGTAAGGTCTGTTGTAATCAAGGAAAAAACACTTGCAAAGATCTAGGAGGTGAATGCAAAAAGGAAGCCAAATGCGACGGAGGTATACTTACTCCCTCTACACCTTGCAAGAGTGGCAAGGTCTGTTGTGAAAAAGGAAAAAACACTTGCAAAGATCTAGGAGGTACATGTCGAGAGGAAGCCAAATGCACTGAGGATATACTTACTCCCTCTGCACCGTGCAAGAGTGGTAAGGTCTGTTGTAATAAAGGAAAAAACACTTGCAAAGATCTAAGAGGTGAATGCAAAAAGGAAGCCAAATGCGACGGAGGTATACTTACTCCCTCTACACCTTGCAAGAGTGGCAAGGTCTGTTGTGAAAAAGGAAAAAACACTTGCAAAGATCTAGGAGGTACATGTCGAGAGGAAGCCAAATGGAGGATATACTTACTCCCTCTGTACCGTGCAAAAGTGGCAAGGTCTGTTGTGAAAAAGGAAAAAACACTTGCAAAGATCTAGGAGGTACATGTCGAGAGGAAGCCAAATGCGACGGGGATATATTTACTCCCTCTGTACCGTGCAAAAGTGGCAAGGTCTGTTGTGAAAAAGGAAAGAACACTTGCAAAGATCTAGGAGGTACATGTCGAGAGGAAGCCAAATGCACTGGGGATATACTTACTCCCTCTGTACCGTGCAAAAGTGGCAAGGTCTGTTGTGAAAAAGGAAAGAACACTTGCAAAGATCTAGGAGGTACATGTCGAGAGGAACAAATGCACTGGGATATACTTACTCCCTCTGTACCGTGCAAAAGTGGCAAGGTCTGTTGTGAAAAAGGAAAAAACACTTGCAAAGATCTAGGAGGTACATGTCGAGGAAGCCAAATGCACTGAGGATATACTTACTCCCTCTGTACCGTGCAAAAGTGGCAAGGTCTGTTGTGAAAAAGGCAAAAACACTTGCAAAGATCTAGGAGGTACATGTCGAGAGGAAGACAAATGCACTGGGATATACTTACTCCCTCTGTACCGTGCAAAAGTGGCAAGGTCTGTTGTGAAAAAGGAAAAAACACTTGCAAAGATCTAGGAGGTACATGTCGAGAGGAAGACAAATGCACGGATATACTTACTCCCTCTGTACCGTGCAAAAGTGGCAAGGTCTGTTGTGAAAAAGGAAAAACACTTGCAAAGATCTAGGAGGTACATGTCGAGAGGAAGACAAATGCACTGAGGATATACTTACTCCCTCTGTACCGTGCAAAAGTGGCAAGGTCTGTTGTGAAAAAGGAAAAAACACTTGCAAAGATCTAGGAGGTACATGTCGAGAGGAAGACAAATGCACTGAGGATATACTTACTCCCTCTGTACCGTGCAAAAGTGGCAAGGTCTGTTGTGAAAAAGGAAAAAAACACTTGCAAAGATCTAGGAGGTACATGTCGAGAGGAAGACAAATGCACTGAGGATATACTTACTCCCTCTGTACCGTGCGAAAGTGGCAAGGTCTGTTGTGAAAAAGGAAAAAACACTTGCAAAGATCTAGGAGGTACATGTCGAGAGGAAGACAAATGCACTGAGGATATACTTACTCCCTCTGTACCGTGCGAAAGTGGCAAGGTCTGTTGTGAAAAAGGAAAGAACACTTGCAAAGATCTAGGAGGTGAATGCAAAAAGGAAGCCAAATGCGAGGGGATATACTTACTCCCTCTGTACCGTGCAAGAGTGGTAAGGTCTGTTGTGAAAAGGGAACAACTTGTAAATCACTAAGTGGACAGTGTAAAAAGGAAGACACATGTCAAAGCAAAGTGTTAAGCCCCAGCAAGAAGTGCAAAGCTGGTAAGGTATGCTGCTTAATCCGCACCTGTCGCGACCGAGGAGGGAAGTGTAAGAAGGAAGAAAAGTGCAACGGTAGAATCGTCAAGGTGAAGAAGCCATGCGAGGAACCCAAAGTCTGCTGTCTAGGTAAGTGAAAGAAAATTGCGTAAAGCACAGATTCACACGTACTCGAAAATCTACATGCTCATGAATGGCTTTAAACATACTTATATACAAATACGAAATGTACTGCCTATGTACTGTGTTATTCTATTTCATTGTGATGATTATCGTCGCCATTATTTAATGACAAAATGTTACAAGTAATGATACGAGTCAATAATACCATTAATGATAATGGTATGAACGAAATTAAAGAACAGATTTAGTTTATAGGTGAAATGATTCGCTTCGCAGCAGCTTCTTATTCATAACGATAATGTGGTTACATTCATTTGATAGTGATAATAATAATACTATAATAATTGCAATGGTGATGTTTATATGAATAATTAAAATGCTACTGAAAATATTGATGACAGTTCTGATAATGAGGAAAACCTTGATATTCAATATTTGATACGAGTTAAGATAATGATGATACTACTGCTTATTATAGTTATGGTAATAATGACAATGATTTAAGAAAAGATATACTACTACTACTAACACTACTAATGAAAATCTTATTAATGATAATCGTAATGATAATTATGTCAATCATATTAACAGCAGTAATCATGATGCTGATCATAATGATAACAAAAATTATATTATTGACAATGATAATAATTAGAGCAATAATAATGGCAATAATAGAATAATGATAAGCATTCCTCACCATCATTATCATCGTCCAACATCGCCATCTTCATCGTCATCACCGTAGCCATTGAAATCTCATGATGAGAATACTAGCAATAATTATGATGATGGTAATCAAAATGAGAATCATGGGAGAAATAATGATAGCAAGGACATCAATGAAACTGCATCAAAGAGGAGAATTATTAGGTGATTCCTATACAAAAGCCTGGTTACGTGTGGAGTTACTAATTCTATGCTCTTTTACCACTCAAAGAGGACCCAGGTACCCCTGAGCCACCGCCACCAACCACTCTTAAACCGGAGCCACCAACCACCCTCAAGCCGCCGCCACCAACCACCCTCAAGCCGCCGCCACCAACCACTCTTAACCCAGAGCCACCAACCACCCCTAAGCCTCCGCCACCAACTACACTTAACCCAGAGCCACCAACCGCCCCTAACTCTCCGCCACCAACCACTCTTAACCCAGAGCCACCAACCACCCCTAAGCCTCCGCCACCAACTACACTTAACCCAGAGCCACCAACCGCCCCTAACTCTCCGCCACCAACCACTCTTAACCCAGAGCCACCAACCACCCCTAAGCCTCCGCCACCAACCACACTTAACCCAGAGCCACCAACCGCCCCTAACTCTCCGCCACCAACCACTCTCCAGAGCCACCAACCACCCCTAAGCCTCCGCCACAACCACACTTAACCCTGAGCCACCAACCGCCCCTAACTCTCCGCCACCAACCACTCTTAACCCAGAGCCACCAACCACCCCTAAGCCTCCGCCACCAACCACACTTAACCCAGAGCCACCAACCGCCCCAACTCTCCCACCAACCACTCTTAACCCAGAGCCACCAACCACCCCTAAGCCTCCACCACCAACCACTCTTAACCCAGAGCCACCAACCACCCCTAAGCCTCCACCACCAACCACTCTTCCAGAGCCTAAGCCGACGCCACCAACCACTCTTAAACCGGAGCCACAACCACAAACGACAATAGCAGATACAACTACTGCAGATGCAACAACTATTGCAGACACAACATCGACTGCAGATAAAACAACGACTACAGATATAACTACTGCAGATACAACCACTGCAGATATAACTACTACAGATACAACGACCACAGGTACAACAACGGTAGAAATAACTACTGCAGATACAACTACTGCAGATAAAACCACTGTAGATATTACAACCACTGCAGATATTACAACCACTACAGATACGAATACTGCAGATACAACCACTGTAGATATACAACCACTGCAGAAAACCACTGCAGATACGAATACTGCAGATACAACTACTGCAGATACAACCAATACAGATATTACAACGACTGCAGATATTTGCAGATACAACCACTGCAGATACAACACTGCAGATACAACTACTGCAGACCACTACAACCACTGCAGATATTAAAACCACTGCAGATACAATACTGCAGATACAACACTGCAGCACTGCAGATACAACCACTGCAGATACACCACTGCAGATATACAACCACTACAGATACAACAACGCAGGGCAGATACAACCACTGCAGATACAACCACTGCAGATACAACCACTGCAATACAACCACCAGATACAACACTGCAGATACAACCACTGCAGATTACTGCAGATACAACCACTGCAGATATTACAACCACTGCAGCAGGCAGATACAACTACTGCAGATACAACCACTGAAGATACAACCACTGCAGATACAACTACTGCAGATACAACCACTGCAGATACAACTACTGCAGATACAACCACTGCAGATACAACCACTGCAGATACAACCACTACAGATACAACTACTGCAGATACAACTACTGCAGATACAACCACTGAAGATACAACCACTGCAGTGCAGATACAACCACTGCAGATACAACCACGCAGATACAACTACTGCAGATACAACCACTGCAGATACAACCACTGATACAACACTGAGATACCACTGCAGACTGCAGACTGCAGATACAACCACTGCAGATACAACTACTGCAGATACAACCACTGCAGATACAACCACTACTGATACAACACTGCAGATACAACCACTGCAGATACAACCACTGCAGATACAACTACTGCAGATACAACACCTGCA